CTTCCTTCCTTCCTTCCTTCCTTCCTTCCTTCCTTCCTTCCTCTGCTTGTCAAACAGCTTTACTTTGGGTAGAGGCGGCCCCCCCGGGCTGTACATTAGTACATTCTCTTAGAATGAAATGCTTTGCTGCCCCCTCGGAAGTGAATGACTGTGGCTCACAAATGTGGTCCTAAAGTAAGGTGACCAGACGTCCCGCTTTTGGCGGGACAGTCCCGCCTTTTAACAATTTGTCCCACGTCCCACGGTGTTTTTAAAAAGTCCCAATTCTTGGAAAGAATGCAGGACAAGCTAGGGTAGACGGTTTTTGGCTGCCATGTGGCTATTTCACCAGGATATGAGTTTTATCAATGGTGTCCCGCTTTACCAACGTTAAAATCTGGTCACCTTACCCTAAAGCCCCGTGAGCCTTTCCGGAGGCTTGCTGGTGTGCTCTGGAATACCCTTTCCTTCCGCGCAGCCCTCTCTCCCTGCCGGTGTCTCCTCCTCCGGCGACTCTGGCCTGGCAGAGGACTGTAGTGTGTATTTTAGTCAGGCAAGAATGCGGACAGCCTGCTCCTGTCAGCTTAAATCCCCCTCTGACACTCACGACGGCTGGTTTGAAAGTGGGGAGGCTCCTTTCTCATTCACATGCTGGTGGTTAAACTTTTTCATGTGCCTTTCTCTCGTTCCTTTTTAAAAAAAATCCCATGTGTAATCTAAAGAGCGGCATTAAATGAACCCCCACGCAGCCTTGGGGGCTTCTTCGGCCATTCTGCCCCCGGGCTGTAGCCAGTGTCCTGAGCTTGGTCATGACGTGTTGGGCTGCACGGGGCGTCTGAGCTGTGTTCGTGACTCCCCTTGGGGAGGGCTAGCTCCGGAGAGATGAGGGTCTGTGCTCACGGATCCTTGTCAGCTGCTGTTTGCTGCCAGTCTGGATTTCTTTCCACAAAGCAGAATTCAAAAGCCCCCGTTTCTTGAGCTTGCTGCTCTGCACAGAGAATAGTGGTGAAGGAAGGGCCTTCCTTACCAGTTAAAGACAAAAGTCAACTCAGCAAACATTGACCGTCTCCAGAGAACAGCACCCTGCAAAGAGCCTGTTCTCCGCCCATTTCCTCCTGTCTCTTCTCTGCTCAGAGGGCCCAATAGACATAAACATGAGTGAAATTGGAATGGACGCCATTCATGACCTCTTCTCCAAAGACCCCACCATCAAGCTCGGAGGTCACTGGGAGCCCCCTGACTGCATGCCTCGATGGAAGGTAGGGGTGAAGGCTGGCCCACACCCAGCCCACAGATCTGAATCACCATGTGACTCTGGCAGTTCATTATTTACTTCCTTCTGCTCCGTGGGAGCGCGCGCATTTGAGAGAAACGCTTTGGGAGGATGGGCTTGCCCATTGCCTCCCGTGTAGCCTCCTCTTGCTAGACTGTACGCAGTCCCCATTACTGAGCAGGGTCCCCCTCTGGGCTGCCTAATAAGAAGGCCGGCTAAGCGGGGTGGGGGGAGCTGCTGACTCTCTCTGTTGGCACATTTCACAGTGCGTCATGCCTTACTCTCTCCCCTGGTTGCTAAGTCAGTCAGCCTCACCGCCATGGAGTCGATGCTGACTCAGAGCAACCCCATAGGACAGGGTAGAACTGCCCCTGTGGGTTGCCGAGGCCGTATATTTTTACTCCTCATCTGTCTCCAAGGAGTAGCTGGTGGTTTCAAACTGCTGACCTTGTGGTTAAGCAGCCTGGTGTATGACCTATTAGGCCACCAGGTCTCGGACTCCTTTCTGCCGTCAAAAGCAGAACCACTGAGAGTGGTGGTTCCCATCATGGCAGCAGTCAAGAGGTGGGGCCCTGGCGATGCTGTCAGGTGAGCCATGGACCTGTAGCCACAAAGTCATCAGTTTGGAGCCACCAGCTGCTTCAAGGGGGAAAGATGAGGCTGCCTGATCCATGCAGATCGACAGTCTTGGAAACCCACTATGAGTTTACAAGTGAGGTGCTAAGAGGAGTATCAACTCTGACACAGTGGGCTTGGTTTTTTTGTGTGGGGGGGGGAGGGAGGGGCGGTGTCTAGTCAGGACACACCAGTGGTGTGAATCAAGCTAAGGACCAGCAATGGTTTTTAAAAAGCATAAGAGAAAGTAGTACTATACTCATAAGTAGTACTATAGCTCATAATTAGAATCAAGTGTCGTATCTGCTTTTACAGGATCCCCTGCCCTCCCCACCCCCCACCCCACCCCCAGAGTGGCATCACCCAATTTGGGAAACACGGTTCTGTGTCATGAAGTCTGTTCATGTACCTGTGACACAGCGACGACCCTGTCACTTCCCGTGAGGGCTGGTCTGCTCCGTGCAGGGCATGACATGAGAGAGTGTGGTCCTTGTACTCCCAAAGGCCCCCTTGCCATCACGGGTCTTTATTCAGAGGAGGGTGAAGGCAAGGTAGCCTCCTAGAACTCCCTAAGAATGGGTCCCCATTCTGCAGGGCTGTCCTGCCAGCAGGACAAAGCCCAGGGCCCTAATGGGGTGATTTCTTTGTCAGGTGGCGATCCTCATCCCGTTCCGGAACCGCCACGAGCACCTGCCAGTGCTGCTCAGGCACCTGATTCCCATGCTCCAGCGCCAGCGCCTGCGGTTTGCGTTTTATGTGGTTGAGCAGGTGAGTGGCCCTCTTTGTCGTCGTTCTTTCTCTTCTGAGACGGAGTGCGTCAGTGCAGTCCATCTGGGGCTAGAGGAGCCAGCACGTTGACAGGCTCCAGAAGAGGCCTCTGGAGCAGCAAGAACCACTGAGAGTGCCGTTCTGAGCCCCTGGCCAACTGGAGTCCAGGGTGCAGCTGGTTTGCTGGGAACAAAGGCCCCTTGTCAGGTGGCACTGCCACTGCCTGCTTTGGTTGGCGTCTTCAGGCCCCAGACCCAGGAAGTCTCCATGAAGATAAGGATGGGTGGCAGGGGCCAGCGCCAGAGAATCAGGCTCGGGGTTGGGAGGCCCCAGGGCTCAGCTCCTGGGTGCTGTTAATTAGCCATGTGACCTGAGACTTTCACAAGCTTCTCTCTGTGGGCCTCAGGTTTCGATTAAGTGTGTAATCCTTCAACCGGAGTCGCTAGAGACAGAAGAGGGGTTTCCAAAATGCTTCCCTTTATACTTGCTCATTGTAAGTTAGATTTCTGACTCCTTCATCCTCTTTTAGCCCCTTCCACACTCAAGGCCCCTGGGCCCCATGCCTTCTGATTCACACCATGAGTCAGTCATTGAGTGAGCAGGCGAGGCTGGACCTGATCTCATCTGAGCCGTGGGGTCTTTCCCAGCCTTTCTGGTGCCCTCTCCCTCAGGCAAGGCCGCAGCAAGCAGATGGGCCTCTGAGAGTGCTTTTAACCCCAAAGCTCTGCTGTTTGTAGGCGGGCACCCAACCCTTCAATCGAGCCATGCTTTTCAACGTTGGCTTCCAAGAAGCAATGAAGGACTTGGATTGGGACTGTCTGATTTTCCATGATGTGGATCACATACCTGAAAGCGATCGCAACTATTATGGCTGTGGACAGATGCCGAGACACTTCGCAACCAAACTGGATAAGTACATGTATCTGTGAGTGTCATTTCTCTTGATTAAAGAGGGTGAAATCTAGAAGGGTCTGAGAGAGGCAGAGATGGTCAACCCCAGTTAGATACGGCCCAAATGCCTATCAACTGCTGAGTGGAGAAATAAATGCCCTTGTAGCTAGCTCCACCTTGGGGTGGCGGGGGTGGGGTCTGGGTGTGGGTGGTAATTGGCATGCAATGCTGGCGCTGGCTGCTGCCTGGATTAAGCTAGAAAACACGACCGTGCTGTGAAAGGACCCAGTAGCAAAAGACCACACACGTCAGGGGCTCTGCTTTCTGTGCAGTGCCCAGAGTAGACGAATCTCAGAGACAGAAGGGTTCCTTGTTGCCCAGGGTGGGTCGGAGCGAGAACAGAGGAAATCATTGCTCAGGGGGCACCAAGGACAGAAGGGCAGGGGACACACAGGTGGAACGCTCTAGAATGGATCATGGTGACGATTGCTTAACTGCCTACGCTGATGAAAACCAATGAACCGGGCTGTCTAAGTGGGCGAATTCAATGGCATGTCAAATTGTATCTCAATTAAGATGTCATAAAAAGTCAGTTGGGGAAAGCGAATTCCAGTCAGCTACTGAGGTTGATACCGCTTGGCAAGAGGAAAGGGTTTGAGGTGGTTCAAGGCAGTAGCAGGACAGCCCTGTGTTACTGAAGACTTGGTTCTCGGGAGCAGGGTGGTGGGCTGCTGTGGAGGGAGGGAGACGTCACGGGGGATTGGCGTTGTTTCCCCCCTCAGGCTTCCTTACACCGAGTTCTTTGGCGGCGTGAGCGGCTTAACGGTGGAACAGTTCCGGAAGATCAATGGGTTCCCTAATGCTTTCTGGGGCTGGGGTGGCGAAGATGATGACCTCTGGAACAGGTACCCCCACCCCCCACCCCGCCCCACCCCACCCCGGTGCCTGTGAAGAAGGCTGCCTTAGTCGCTCCCAGACCAGCGAGGCCCAGTCGAAATAGGGTGTCCACCAGCCAGGCCACTGAAGGAAGATGTCCTAGTAGCCACGTGGTACCAGATTTCACACAAAAACAAAAAGCCACATAGGTGAAACATATTTTAATTTCAGTAATAGGGCTTGTGCAATATCAGCACGTGCTATCATTTCCACGTGCAGTCCGCGTAAAAATTATGCGTGAGGTCCTTTCTGTCCATTTTCCTCCTCTGTGTCGTTGAACCCCTCTGGGTGGCTCCTTTGCAGAGCACCCTTCCTTCTGACTGCCTGAATTTCAGGGGCTCAGGGGCCACATGAGGGAGGTCAGGGCCTTCAAAGCGGAGCCATTCTGGCTCTGGCTGGGTCGGGGACGGCCGGTTTCTTCCGTGCCAGACACTAGACTATTTGGAGTTTGTTGGCATCATGTTTTATCCACGTACAGAAATTACATGGAACATCACCAACAAATGCACAAACAGCTCTTCCATCGGAAGAAAGCAGGACACAGCACCCTAGCCATTGGCTCTGTCCTTTTCCTCAGAAACCAAATCCTTTCACAGGGTGGGGTTGTTTCCCCCTTCTAGTAAGCAATTTTTTTTTAATGGGCGTGGGCTTAAAAATGAAATTAACTGCCTACAACCTGAACCCTCAGAAAGGCTGGGAACTAGCTACTGTTTCAATGAATTTAACGTCTTTTCAAAGTGATGGTGTGCAGTGACTTAACGGTCTGATTTTTTTTAATCGTGTTACTTGTCTTCATCAGGGCTCATGTTAAAGGCTAATAGCTGTTTTTGGAATTTCTTTTCTTTTTTAAGTTCACACAGGGTAAATGCCTTCTCTGAGCCCTTGAAGTACCCACTGGTTAGGCAGTGGGTACTGGGGCTTGGAACTCTGAGGCCCGTTGTTTACCTCAGGCCTTCCCGGCCTTGGCACCATGACCTTGGGACCAGTGATTCTTTGCCGTGGGGAGCTGTTGTGTGCCTGGTTGGGACAGCCCCCCCCCCCCCATATTGCCTCGGCCACAGTAGCCGGGTGTATCGGGGTTGTCAGGCATTTAAGTAAAGGAGTCCCGTAGTGGTCAGACGACCTACCGCGTTTCCTAGGCTGCCATCTCTACCAGAGCAGATGACCAGCCTCTCTCGTGGGACCACGGCACACTTTAACTGCCAGCCTTCTGGTCCCCGGGTGAGTGCTCAACCTGAGAGACGCCTGCTCTGTTCCCGTTCCAGACTCAGGTGTGCACCTTCATCTGCCGCCACCGCGCGGGGCCCTGGGCCAGTCACTGGTCACCGTGGCCTCTGATGTGCACGCTAGCGTCTCTGCTGCTACAGCAGGGCCCGGCTCCTGAAACGGGCAGAGCACCCCTCAGAGCAGGGCCGGGCTCTGAAACGGGCAGA